AAATCCCATTACATGTTAGACAACAAGCCACTGAGGTGAATACTAGTAATATCGACCTTAGTAACCTGAGTCAACAACCCAATGACCCGAATACTAATGACATTGACCTAGGGAATATTAATGAGTCGCCTTCAAAGCAAATACTAGTCCCGAGTAAACAGAAAAAATATACTGGTACATTAGTGAATGGAACTTCGAAGCCCCTAAAATCACAACTTGAAAAAGAAGATAATAACACTGGAAAAGGCACTATACCCTGCCCATTTCTTAAGCGTCGAGGGTGGTGTGCAAAGGGAAGGCGTTGCGATTTTAAACATCCACGTGGTGAACAAAAACATTTGGTGCCTTGTCCTTTTTTGCAAAATCGAGGTTATTGCTTAAAGGGTAGCGGGTGTGATTTTTCCCACAGTACCAATCATAACAGAACGGCATCACGGCCTGTTAATAACCATCCCAACCAACCTTTTTTCTCTTACCATCCTTACCATCGTCCTCCTATGGTCCCGCATTTAAGAGCACGGAATGAGTGTCAACCGAAGTTACTCCCAGTTTGCTCGTTTTTTTTCAACATTGCCCGAAAACCTTAATGGAAATCCCTGTCCAACCTCCGTTTCCCTTCGCCTTCCGCGAAAGTTATTAACTTTCTTTCTAGCGAACTCTCGATCACTTTTACCTAAGATTGATGAACTGAAAACTATTTTGCATATAAATGAGGTTGGGTTGGCCTTTATAACTGAGACATGGCTAAATGAAAATATTGATGACGGTGCCGTTGAAATTAGTGGCTTTTCCTTAGTTCGGCGTGATAGAATTTCTAGAATCGGGGGTGGCGTTTGTGCTTATATTAAAGACCAGATTCCTTTTAAAATCTTAACAGATTTGCATGAAGACAATTTTGAATCACTTTGGCTTTACCTGAGACCAAATAAACTTTTCCGTGGCTTTTCCTGCCTGATTATCTGTGTGGTCTATCACCCTCCCTCCAATGATAACTCTGCCTTAATCGATCACCCAACATCTAAACTTGACGCTGCTCTTATATTGTACCCCAACGCTGGTATTTTTCTCATTGGAGACTTTAATAAATGCCCAATTTCCTCCCTACTACGTCATTTTACTTTGAAACAGATAGTTAAAGAACCCACAAGAGGAAATTCCACATTGGACTTAATTTTGACAAATATGACTTCCTGTTGTAACTCTCCGGTGTTATTACCCCCTGTCGGCCAAAGTGACCATAATTCCGTACTGTGGTCCTTTAATAAAAATACAGCTAAATATGGTACATCAAAAGTGAAAACTAGACAAGGTAACAATCATGACAGGAGAGCATTCGGTAAGTGGCTAGCTGATATAAACTGGAACAACTTGTACCGCGCTGAATCATGTGAACAAAAGTTAGATTTTTTTCAAACAGTTATAAATACTGGTTTGGACTGTTTTTTCCCTAGTAAAATTGTAAAGTTGCACGATCATGATAAACCATGGGTTACAGTCGGATTTAAGAAAATTATAGAAAATAGACAAAGAGCGTTTCGTCAGGGCAAAAGTCCGCTATATCGTAGATTGAGAAATCTTGCCAATAGAGAAAGTAAGAGACTCAAGTCAACCTTCCTTAAGAAAAAGATGGATGAGTTAAAACTAAACCCCAATGCTAAAAAATGGTGGCAATGTATAAAACAGCTTGCGGGTTTCGCCAAGAACAAAACATTCTCTAATTTCGTTGTAAACAACCAGGTTTTTGCTGGTAAAGAGTTAGCAGATAAAATCAATGATGTTTTTGTCTCATCTACCCAAGATATTCCTCCCTTGAATAAGTCTCCAGTTGATGACCTAATTGAAAATGGCAGTACAAGTATCCTTCCACAGTTTATTATCGAAGAAAAAGATGTATACTGTAAATTGTCCGCCATCCCCGTTTCCAAATCACCTGGTCCTGATGGAATACCTAATTGGGTGCTTAAATCTTATGCATACGTTCTTTCTTCCCCTGTGGCATCGATTTTCAACGCTTCGATTCAAGAAGCAGTTGTACCCTCAATGTGGAAAAAAGCGAACGTTATCCCTGTTCCAAAAAAATCAGTCCCTAAAGACATTTCTAAAGATTTGCGCCCTATCTCACTTACCCCCACTTTATCCAAAATTTGCGAACGGTTTGTTACAGACTGGTTACTTAAGTCAATTGGTGCAAAGATTGATACGCGGCAGTTTGGCTCCGTTAAAAATTCCTCGGCTACCCATGCCCTACTGAGCCTGATCCATCACCTCCTGAGTGCTACAGATGCTTCAAGCAATGCGGTGAGAGTATTCTTGCTTGATTTTGAAAAAGCTTTTGATCGAATAGATCACAACATACTGGTGAATAAGCTACAACAAATGAGTGTTTCCCAAACCATTATAAATTGGATTAGAAGTTTTCTCTCTGATCGTAAACAACGAGTCAAGTTGGCTAACTGTCATTCGGACTGGCAAACGTTAAACGGTGGAGTGCCGCAAGGGTCGGTGTTAGGGCCGGCTTTGTTCCTTGTTATGATAAATGATCTTCTTATTGATTGGAGCGATAGATGGAAGTATGTTGATGACAGTACGTTTGCTGAACGAGTTACATCAACTGAGAGTAGTGAACTACAAGATCTAGTGAATGTTATCTATAATTGGTGTGAAGTTAATAATATGAAGCTCAACATCGGCAAATGTAAGGAAATGGTAATTGACTTTGCAAGAGAAAAACATGAGTTTTTACCGTTAACTATAAATAACGTTGGTATTGAGCGGGTAAAATCTGCCCGAATTCTTGGTCTCTCAATCCAAGATGATTTGAAATGGAACGAGCATGTGAACCACATTGTTAAAAAAGCGGGAAAACGCCTTTATATGCTAAGGTTGTTAAAACGATCAAATGCCGACAATAGCATTCTAATTTTGGTATACTGCACCATTATCAGACCAGTACTCGAATATGCCTATCAAGTTTGGCACTTCAATATTACAGAATACCTAAGTGAAGATATCGAAAAACTCCAGAAGCGGGCTCTGCGTATTGTCTTGCCATTCGCTACTTATAGGGAAGCTTGCAGTATTATTGGTATACCCTTACTGAAAGATCGGCGGCGATTATTATGCGAATGTTTTTTTGTTAAAAATGCACATGGAGACAAATTGGGTGACCTCTTACCGCCTAAACTTGAACATAACTATAATACACGTTATGGAAGAGATTATAATAACTATAGTTGTAAAACGGACAGATTTATGAAATCGTTTTTTCCACAGATGGTTTCACATATGAATAGACCATAATTTTAATATTTTTAATATTTTTCAATTTGAACTCTATAACTTTTTCAACTGAAGTTATGAATAATTTTATGCATTTAGATATTCTATTGTAGTATAATGAGACTTTTTACTGGTGTAATTTAACCTAATAGGTTACAAATGCAGGCTTGGAAACCGCAACAGCTACGGCCATTTACTGCGGATCCATTATGATACATCAAGTTCAATATAAACTAACAATAAATAACGATTACAATTGCCAACAAAACATACAAACATCAGACATTAACAACATTAAAGCTACGTTTACACACCGCGATCCACCGCGTACGATTCACCCTCTGGCGCATGTCATGTGATAAACACGCGTAAGCTGGCTACATTTGTAATTTATGAATTATGGCGCCAGCACTCATTTTAATACGCCAAAATACAAACCGCACACGAAAAATCGCAGCGCGTAAACGTACCTTTTTATAAAGACATACAGACATTAAAAACAGCACATTGGAAGAGAAAGAAGACTGCGGGCAGAGCCACACTTAACACAAATTGACTTCCATGTTCGTGCATCTTCAGAGTCATAAGTTGATTTTAAAGCACTCTGGTAATATTCCTTCAACAGGTGTTTATAGGAAGACAGAGATGTTGTGTTCCTTCGTATTTCCTTTGGCAGAACATTCCACACCCTTTTCGATCGAACCAAGTATGATCTAGCGTAATTAGAAGTTCGACACAGCTGTTCCTCTAACATAATGGCGCCGTCGACTCGGCTGCTAGATCTTGTTGACCTTCCTGGTTCTTTGACTGTCGGTAAAAGTGCTTTTTCTGTGTAAGTCATGTTGTTAGTAAGTTTGAATAGTAGTACCATGTCCAAATATTCATGCCAATAGGAGAGTGGAAGTAAATCTGTCTGGATAAGTCGTTCTTTGTAAAGTTGGTGAAGTTGCTCCAAGGACGGTCACCTGTTGACGGCGATGATAAAGGTATGATTTGAACCATCTGAGGAGGTTGGTCTTGAATCCTAGATGGCGTAGATTTTTTCTATCAATATTTCGTGGTTCACCCTGTAAAATGCCTTGGACATATCTAGGTATATGACGTCTATCTGCTCTCCTCGGTCGAGCAATCTTCCAATCTTATCTAGAACGCCAATGAGTTGTGAAGTGCATGCACGATTTGCCCGGTACAAAACCATGTTGACACTCGTTGAGGATCACACGTAATTGTTCCCAGATGTGTTTCAACACACATCTCTCCAGCAATTTAGACACAATACATAGAAGAGAGATTGGTCTGTACACTGTTAATTTCAAGGAGTTATTTTAACTCCACCATAGGAGAGTTAAAACTACTCAACTCGGGAGAGTAAAAATAGTGGAGTAAAATCTACTCCCAAAATAGAGTTAAAACTACTCCACTTCGGCGCGCATTCCACAATTTACTCC